AAAAAAAAAAAAAAAAAAGAGGACCTTCATTGCAATTAAAATGTGGTAAATTGAAAGTAGAAGCTGAATATAGGGACAATTTCGCCATTCAAGTAGCTCTTCTTTGTAATCTCCTCTATAAATAGTAACATATGCGACCAAGAATGAAACCCTAACTTTTGCTACGCCGATCTGTAAATACACATACACTCTCCCTCTCAACACATTCTCACACACACGGCAGATTGTATGTATGGAAGAATTTGAAAGAGAAGGTGCGCTGATGAGTAATCAAATAATCTCGTTAAACTGATTGTTTCTGAGGAAATCTTGAATCCATTCTTTATCTACTCTGAGCGCCTTCTCTTTTTATTTTCAATTTCTCAGATCTTTTTTTCATTTACAATTTTTTCTTTGATCCATCAATTTGAATTCTATTTAAAACTTTTTGAAAGTTTAACATACATCTACAATGATAATTTTTACTTCAGTTAATGATTATTTGGCATTCGATTTTGTGATTGAGTTTGATTTTAAATGTTTTTCGCAAATTTAGTTCAGAATTTTAAAATGTTTTTCTTTTTATTTTTCATTTTTCATAGTAGAAAAGTAATTATATAATATTATTTTCATATTATCTTTAATGGTCTTATTTGATTTTAGTTGACCGTACCAAAATTTTTAGTTATTATTTGGGAAATATTATTAGTTAAAATTTAATTTTAAGTATACATTCACAATTATTATCCATAAAAAAATGAATGATTTATTAATATTTTCATTATAAGGAGTTTATAATGAAGTTATTATTTGAAATTCAGGCATAATTTAGATTAATTTAGTTCTATAAATAATTTTTTGAAAAAGATAAGTCCACCTTGTCTACAATGTCCTTGTGTAGTGGAAATTAACAAATTGTTAAACATGACTTAGTTGCAGAATATCCTCTACCTTTTCGACACTGNTAAATAATTTTTTGAAAAAGTTAAGTCCCCCTTGTCTACAATGTCCTTGTGTAGTGGAAATTAACAAATTGTTAAACATGACTTAGTTGCAGAATATCCTCTACCTTTTCGACACTGCGAAAATTCTCTATCTATTGAAAATAGTAAAAAGGGTTTTTGTTTGAAACTTTTAGCACGGAATACAACTTTTTAGATACGGAAAATTTTCATACCGTTCAATTCAGTTAGTTTAATATTTAAAAGCAGTAAAAATTGTTAAAATTAAAAATGAATAATTGTAATTACAATCTTAAACATTTTTTTTAAGAAAATTATACTCAAATTTTTTTTGTCTCACTCGATTATTTACAACAAAATCCTTAGAAATGCTCTCTATAAATTAGTGAGCCAATAGGTGGATAAACAATTTATTTGGACATTTCAATCCAATTAGGGTCCGTTTGATTACAAGATGGAAAATTGGGTGGAAAGAAAATGAATTCAAGGGAAAATAATTGGCTAAAAATTATTTTCCATGGAAACGTCAATTAGTTGCGTTTGATTGGTATAATTTTCTACCTAGAAAATGTTAAGATTTTCCATCTTTTGATATTTGATCGACTTTGTAAAATTATGATTTTTTAAGCGAAACTATCAAACTTCTCGAAAATTTTCCGACATCTGCTCATCCTCCAGCAATGTCACCTGCGCCTCCCAGCCTCCTCCTACTCCAACAACTTCTCCACCACCTGCAAGCCCAACTTCCCCAGCCAATTCTCCTCCATCAGCTTCATCCCCACCACCACCGCCCAGCCTCCTTCACGGATCTTCACTCCGTGAATTGAGTTTACAATAAACAAGAAAAGGGGCTTGANCTCCTCCTACTCCAACAACTTCTCCACCATCGGCAACCCAACTCCCCAGCTAACTCTCTGCCATCAGCTTCATCCTTAGTACCGCTGCCTTCCAATACACCTGCTCCAGTTTCTCCACCAATTCCTCCCGCATCAACCCTACTTCCAACTAACTCCCGCACCATCCCAACACCACCTTCTTCATCTGGGTCTCCACCCTCCCCTCCCCCCTTCGCCACCTACCGTCCCAACACCACCTTCTTCATCTGACAAAGAAGAAGCCATCAACCTTCTTAAAATTTTGCATCGAAGAATTAGGAAAGTAATTTTCCACAAAAAAAGCAATTGATAGAGAAGAAGCCATCAACCTTCTTAAAATTACAACTGGCTGTTGACTATATAGTTGAAATAAAATTAAGAAAACAAAAAACAAAAAAATCAATTGACAGAAAAGAAGCCAAATTTGAAACTGATCGTCCTGCACCGAGCAGCAAGACTCCCTCTCCGTCGAGTACAGCAAGATCTCCGACGTCGCCGTCAATTGGCGGTGGTGGAAGACCCCATGGCCCCACAGATTACAATGTTCCTCCACCACCAACCGAACACAAAGGTTTGAGCGAATTCCACCTTGGTGGAAAATGTATTCCCAGCTGAAGGATGAGAAATGAATTTCCTTGATTTGGTGGAAAATAGGGCGCGTGAGGTGGATTAGGGAAAATGTTTTGACTGGAAAATTCAACCCATCAAACATGTTAAAAAGGTGGAAAAGGAAAATCTTTTCCAAGTTCCATGGAAAATATAACCTATCAAACAGGGCCTTAGTTAAAAGTAGAAAAAGTAGAAAATTTTATAATAATTAAACAATAATAGCATTTATTAAAAAAATTACAAAAAAATGTGTGCCTAGGCATGCCTTAAGTGGTCAACGCTTTTGTTGACAGCTTAATTAGTCGACTAGGCCCTAGGCATGACGTTTTGGTCATGCCTCGCGTTTTAGGCACGCTATTTTCAACAATGGATAATACATGAGAAAAATGTCATTATATTTGATTGTGAAACTAGCTTCTAACGTGTTTGCTCGTGGTTTTGTATTGTTATTTTCTTAAGGTGAGTTGGAAGGTTTTGATGCGTAAGCACATTAAATCAAAGGGAAATGTCATTTGTACACTCTAAAGTATACCATCATGTGTGACATTGCCTATATCTAAAAAAATTGTTGAAGAGAAAACTATTTTTTTTTTCTTTTTAAATTGTCAA